TTTTTTTTTTTTTTTGTAGTTGTCATTTTTGTTTGGCAGGCCTGGGCTGGGTTCAAACCTGTCACCTCTTGTGTATGGCGGCCTAGGCATTGAGCTACAGACACGGAGCTAGTTTCCTAATTCTTTACCTTTTGTTTCATCCTAACCTGTTCCTCACCTACCGCTTCCAGAATGAGCTTTAAAAAAATTCTTATTTTGCTTTTCATCACCTCCAGGGCAAGACCAAGACCTTTCGGCCTTGTATCTGAGGTTTTTTCATATGGCCTCTGCTGACTTCCTAGTTACAGCTTTTACTATACTCCCACCATCCTATAGTTAGTCCTCCAATAGGCCAGTTGTATGCCTTTATTCCTATCCTGGGAATGCCTTCCTTTCTCTCTTTTCTTGTAAAATCTATTTACTTTTCAAGATTCTGCTCATGGATAGTCTCTGTTTTCAAGCTTTTCAACTCTATTCTATTGTACCATCCCTCTTAGTACAGATTTCTATCATTGTACCAATTTGTTTATGTTTGTTTTTCTTACTAGTCTGTGAACTCAAGTATAGGGATCACATTTGATTCTTCTTTGTATCCTGATGTTAGCACAGGGCCTGGCAAGGAATGGATACCCAAATGATGTTTATTGAATGAATGAGAGTTGGGCTTGGTGCAGAGATCTGAAGCTGCTGCAGACAAACCTCAGTTCACCCTGAAGGGATTTGGCCAGGCCCTGAGACTCTTCATTATTACAGAAAATAGTGCAAACATGCTTAAGTTATGTTTCCAAGAGATGTACTGGGAAAAATATACTGGAGCAGAGGTATTACTCTGGGACTCTTACATTTCATTCATCTCTCCTTTTCTTGGGTAGCCATAGTTTCAACCCCTGGGTTTCCTTAGTCCCTCTGCATAGGGATGACTAAGCCCTGCATCCCTTGACACTCTCCCCATCTCCTCCCCAGGCAGGAACCATCGAGGAGAAGATCTTCCAGCGTCAAAGCCACAAGAAGGCACTGAGCAGCTGTGTGGTGGATGAGGAGCAGGATGTAGAGCGGCACTTCTCTCTGGGCGAGTTGAAGGAGCTGTTTATCCTGGAGGAGGCTAGCCTCAGTGATACACATGACAGGTTGGTGGCACATCCCTGCCATTATCTCTAAGCTACCGACACAGCACAGAGATGGGATCTATAGTGACCACAAATCTGTCCTCTGCTCCTAGGTTGCATTGCCGTCGTTGTGTCAACGGCCGCCAGGTCTTTCCACCCCCTGATGGTTCTGACTGTACTTCAGACCTCGCTCAGTGGAACCATTGCACTGATAAGCGTGGGCTCCAGGATGAGGTACTCCAAGCTGCCTGGGATGCTACCTCCACTGCCATCACCTTCGTCTTCCACCAGCGTTCCCATGAGGAGCAGCGGGGGCTCCGCTGATAACCAGCTGGTCTGGATGTAGCTGTTAGAGGAAGGAGATAGGGAAAAGGGGCTCCTTACCTCACAGGGCCCTACTGAATTTTGTTCTCTGGGGAAAAAATCATCAAGAAGGGCTGCATGATGTTTGCCCAAAATTTATTTTATAAGAAAAACTTTTTTGGTTAAAAAAAAAAAGAAAGGAATAAAAGTATGAAAGGGACCGAGGCCTGGGAGCAGCATGGTAAGGCCAGCAGGGAAGAGGCCTGGAAGTGGGCACTCCTACACTTCTCTAAAGCCTGGGTACCTGCCTGAGGCAGGAAGGCAGGAACCTTAGGGTAAGGGGAGGATAACTGTCTTTAGATGGTGAAGAAAACTAATTTCTTAGTCCAGAGTTCCCAGGATACTAAGTAAGGGGCCCAAAGGCTCTAAACCCAGCTGTGGGAATGCCTTTGTTGGGCCCTATCAAGGCCTCCAGGACCTCAGTGCAAGGGAAGAAGGAAAAAGAAAAAAGATGATAGAGAAGGATAGAACTTGTTGTTGGGGTTTCTGGGCAGCCCATGCCTCAGCCCCTATAAGCCGATGGTACTAAACATGGGTCTGTGAGGTATGGGCCCCATCACATGGTGCTGACATAATCTGCAAAGGCCTGGGATGAGTCCCATGAGTCGCTAACCACATGGCAGGTGGCCCGGAGTCGCCGGATGGCTTCCCTGGCTGTGACTGCATCCTGATCCAGCCAGTTCTGGAAGAGGCGCAGGTGACCAAAGGCTCCACGGCCCCAGCGCTCCAGCCGCTTGGCAAATTCCAGAAGCCCATCTGGCTTGATGCAGTTGGAACTGGTGGGGGTGAGATGGATTAGATATCCAGAAAGCAACTATTTCCTGGTTTATATCCCTGCAGTCCCATCCTTCCCTCCGTGTACCTGATGTCCAGCTGACAGAGAGAGGAGGATGAATCCTCTGAGAAAACATCTGCCAGGGCCAGTAGGCCAGCATTCCCTGGAGAGAAGGGAAGAAGTACCTGTTACCTCTACCCAGGAACAAGGGTATCCCAACTCAACTCTGGCTAGGGAGAAGCCCCAGCACATAAAATACCTATAGTCCAACCTCCATGTTCCCAGTGGAGAGGCCTGTACCTTCACCCAGTAAATTTTTAGGTCAAAGGCTTGGTTGGCTACTTCCCCCTCTCCCTCCCCAAGGGCCGGTCCCCACCCAGGCGGTTCCCTGGCAGCCGAAGGCCCTTCAGTGTGGAGTTGCCCTTCATAGCAGCAACCATCTCAGGCAGAAATTGAGCTGGGCGCTTTTCAAACAGACGACAGAAGGAGAAGGTAATCTCTGTCAAGAGAAAGTAGAATAAATTCCAATGGCTGCAATTAGGACCTGTGCTACCCCTCTTGCTCCAGTTAGCCTAGGCAAGCTGTGTGAACATTGTATAGAGGCTCAGAAAGCAGAAGGAATTTATCCAAGACCCCAACCAAGGTTTAAACTAAATCAATTCAAACCAGGGACAATGCTTAAATGTTCGCTGTAAGGCAGTTCTCTGCATGGACAATTCTCCATTCACTTCCTCTTTCCCTCTCTATTCACTGACCACCCTCTGTGCAGAGGTAGAGATCAGAGACAAATTCATGTGGGGAGCCTGGGACAGCACATTTTTTCCTCCCCACCACCACCATTTCTGTCAGCCCCTGAAGGTAAGAAAGGCTTTTGGGTGAGGTACTCTAAAAGTGAGTAATTTTTCATGTTTAGTGGAGGAACAGTTGAAACTGGGACTTTATTTTTTTTTTTTTTTGCAGTTTTTAGCCGGGGTTGGGTTTGAACCCGCCACCTCCAGTGTATGGGGCCGGTGCCCTACTTCTTTGAGCCACAGGCGCCACCCTGAAATCGAGACTTTTAAAAGGAAGGTCATACAGGTTCTATATCCATTTTATATTTGAGGACACAAGACCAAGAAAGAAACAGTGGTTTGCTCACTTGTAGCAGAGCCACAATGAGGACCCAGGAACACCCAGGTAATGGATAAGAAACTTACCTTGAAGAGTCAGATTCTGTAGCAAAAAGAGCACCTCACTCTGACAGTCAGCCAGATTCATGTCATGGAAGCTCAGTCTCTTCAGGGCTAGGTTGTACTCTGGGTAGGAGACAGACCATGTGCTATTGTGCCAGAGAACTGCAATAGATTCCCTTCCACCCTCCTCCCTTCACCATTGTGGCTGGGACCTACCTTTGAGTGTCTGTAACACAAGCCCAAAATCCTGGGGAGAGGCAAACGTGGCGCTATCCAGGGACAGCTGCTGCAGAGAACCTGAGGCCTTCAGTACGGAGCAGAGCAGCGGGGCTGGCTGGGCTCCCCTTGGAAATCCCATCTCCAACTGCTCCAGGCAGTTTTCTGGATGTGGTAGGGAGAGAAGATTGCAGCTGGCCATCTCACCTCCATTGCAGGCCCCATTCTGTCCTCATGGGATTCTCTAAATCATTTACTCATCCACTTGTCCTTGAGTGCCTGCTATAAGTCAGGCACTCTCCTAGGTTTTGGGAATAGAGCACTAAATACAAGATTTTTTTTGTTGTTAGAGTTTTTGGCCAGGGCTGGGTCTGAACCCACCACCTCCAGTATATGGGGCCGGCACCCTACTCCTTGAGCCACAAGTGCCGCCCTAAATACAAGATCTGGTCCTTGCTCTCACGGAGCTTAGTTCTTGGAAAGAAGCAAATCTCATTATGCAGAATGGTGGGATATAAGTAAGGGAACATACAGCAGGGGGACTTAATCTAGTCTAAAGGTTAGTTCTGTTCTGGAGACTAAGCTGCCATGAACACTAATAGATTTATACTGGCTTATCATAGGGTCTGCATGGTAGTAGATCTGGATTGGAGGTCCTCCCCTTCCCCCCACAGAAATACACATCTGTGTGGAAATACACATCCATGCGCACACACACAATGCTTCACCTGGTATCTCCTCATCCCCAACTATGTGGCTAGGGGGCCCTGCATTCCCTGGCACAGCAGGGTTGTCCCGCTGGCTTGGGTGGTCAACACGAATAGAAAGGACCCGTAGCAGGGGCAGGGCTCGCACGATGGCACGTGTCAGTTCCAAGATGGGCAGTGGTGAGAACAGGTCACTGAGATGCAGGGCACGGAGGCGGCATCCAGCCTGACCTGACAGGGCCCGCAGACTGTCCAGTAGGCGGAAGATATTAGAGCCTAGGCCTATGACAGGAAAGAGATTATTCAGTCAGTCCTGTGGGAATGACAGCAGGGGTAGTATGCTCAGAGACAACTCCAAATATTTCTTTTGATTACCACCAAATTGCTTAGGCTTTTGATCAGATTGTTCAAAACCATTTGTCCCTCAACTACTCATCTGTATCTTGCTTTTTCCTCAGGTAACCAGCAAACTCTGATGCCTACTATACTGGGCCATGCCCTCAAGAAGCATCAGACAGAGCAGTCACAAAAATAGAAGATAGGATATGGTAGGGCAGCATGTGGCCACTGGCTGGACAGGACCAGACAGCAGCAAAGGTCTCTAGACTTCTGAGTTTCGAGTAGTTTTTTTTAAGAAGCTGGCCTTGAAGGAAGGACATTTTGGACATAAAAGAAGACAGGGATCACAGGGGAGTACAAGACATAAATAGGAGGCTTGTCTGGTTAAGAAACTGAGCTATACGAGGAGGCCCTGAAAGGTGAAGACATGGTTTATCATCTTCTAGGTCATGGGCAGCACCTGAAGATTCATTAGATAACAGTGGGGCAGAAAAGATAACTCCATCGTGAATGAAGGATCCAGAGAGGGTAGGGCAGCTGGTAAATGCCACAGTAAATAATTCCTTGGCCTTCACTCCCTTGGGAGTGTATTGGCTCCTGTTGACTTATTCAGCTAAGCTTAACCTAGCATCTACTGCGTATCAGATAGTTTGCTAGACATTAGTGAGCAGCACATTGTTTTTGCCTATATAACCTGATAGAAACATAAGATACAAACTGAAGATATAACTATAAAAGAGGTAGGGTGAGCTGGCTTATGCTTGTAATCCTAGCACTCTGGGAGGTCAAGGTGGGTGGATGGCTTGAGCTCACGAATTAAAGACCAGCCTAAGCAAGAATGAAACCCTGTCTCTAGTGAAAATAGAATAATTAGCTGGTTATGGTGGTGCCTCTCAGCGACTAGGGAAACCGAGGTGTGAGGATCACTTAAGCCCAAGAGTTTCAGGTTGCTGTGAGCCATGATGACATCACGATACTCAACCCCAGGGTAACAGAGACTCTGTCTTGAAAAAAACAAAAACTATGAAAGTACAAAAGGTGAGTATGGAACACCTAGATCAGCTTACATCAATGAAGGTCTTGGCTGAATTCTAAAAGACATACAGGGAGACAGGCTGAAAGGGGAAAGAAGAATGATTGTGGCAGAGGGAACTCAGCATATGTAGAGGTCTGGAAAACATTGAGTATTGCTGGTATGTAAGATATGAATGGGGAAAGTATTTAAGGTCACCAGTGAGAACATGAATGACTCTTAAAGTCATGTTGACAGGAAGCCACTGAAGAGTGTTTAAACAAATGACAGTTGGAGCTACATTTTTGAAAGTATATCTGGATTCCAGTGGGAACAGTGGGTTGCATGACAAACGAGGAACTGTTAAGTCCAGGTGAGGAGTATGGGCAGCCTAAAGAAAAGATATGGAGGTAAAGAATGGATTTGAGACTAAAGATGGGACTTGGTGACCAAATATGTGAAGAATATGGTATTTCTGGACAACTGAGTCAACTGTGGTGCCATTGAGACTGACAGAAGGAGGGTCACCGTAGAATGAAAAGTTCATTTAGTTTGGATGTAACAGGCTGGGCACAGCAGCTTATGCCTGTAATCCTAGTACTATGAGAGGTCAAGGTGGGTGGATTGCCTGAGCTCACTGGTTCAAGACTATCTTGAGCTAGAGTAAGACCCTGTCTCTAAAAAATAGCCAGGCATTGTGGCAGGCATCTGTAGTCCCAGCTACTTGGGAGGCTGAGGAAAGAGAATCACTTGAGCCCAAGATTTTGAGGTTGCTGTGAGCTATGATGCTGTAGCACTTAACCCTAGGGCAACTGAGACTGTCTCCAAACAAAAAACCAAGCAAAATAGATTGGATATAATGAGTTTGAGGAGCTTGTGGGCTATTAAGTAATGTCTAGTCATCAGCTGAATAAATGGGCCCAGAAATCTAGGAGAAA